GTGTGTGAGAGAGAGAGAGAGAGAGAGAGAGAGAGAGAGAGAGAGAGAGAGAGAAAGACAGAGACAGAGACAGAGAGACAGAGAGTGTACATGCACGCATGCACATGTGTGTGTGAGAACTGTTGCATGCTGATGTACACACACTTGTGTGGATGGACGCATGTGGAAGCAGAGGTTGGCACTAGGTACCTTCCTCTATTATCTCCCACTTCTTTCTTTTCTTTTTTTTTCTTTTTCTTTTTTTTTTTTTTTTGAGACATACTCTCATTGAACTTAAAGCTTGTCAGGGATGCCAGAGTTAGCTTCAGAGACCACCCTGCCTCTGCTAAAACACCCTCCCTTCCCTGAAGCACTGGGTACAGATGTGGGCTGTCAGTGCCTAGCTCCTAAAGTGGGTTCTGGGGATTTGAAAAGGTCCCCAACTTTTTGTGCACATTACCAACTGAGCCATCTCTCCACCCCTTGCTACTTTGTGAAAAAGGAGGCTGACTACCAGGCTGCCACGCACAGGCTTCCAGTAAAGTGACTGGCCTTGCTTTGTAGTACAGGAGCACTTGACTTCTTTTAAGAGGTGATCATGGTTTGGTGATGGATTGATACTCCGCACAGCCATCCACCACATTAACCGTATTCCAGCAGCTGTGACCTGCCATGCTGGAAGGTTTTTTGATCATTTTCTAGAGGCCGTCCCTGCTCATGCCTTTGTCAGCCTGTTGTCTCCTGTGTGTCCAACCAGTTTTCATCCTGTGTTCCAACCCTTGCCCTCTCAGGTCATGTCTGCAGGGTTAAGGCAGTTACTTTCCAGGCAGCTCAAGGGTGTGCGCCCGAGGACTGCTGCCATATCAGGGTTCTGCAGGGACTGCTACCAGTAGCTGCAGACTCCAAGCCTCTGAATTTAGAGCACGCTTTCCCTTTGGGTCTTCGTGTGCAGAGAGGCCATCCTCCTCCAGTGTTCCTTTCCCCCTGTGTCACTTGTCACCTGGGAAAGGTGCACCAGTCTCAGAACTAGAACTCCCTCTGGGTGCTGTCTAGGGGTGTTGGGACAGATGTAACATTGAGGAAGGTGACATTTTGTTCTCTGTTCAGGCTGGAATCATAGAGGAGATGTTAGAGGACACATTTGAGAGCATGGATGATCAGGAAGAAATGGAAGAAGCAGCAGAAATGGAGATCGACAGAATCCTCTTTGAAATCACAGCAGGTACGGCCAGTAGAGCCCCCAACCCCTTCTGGCCCACCCTTCTCATTCTGTCAACACGGGCTACATCTGCATTTTCCTGTGTTGCAATATGCAAGGTATTTCTTGAGGAATGTACAGTAAAGCAGTATCCAGTTTTAAGAAACAAAGGATTTTTAGTTTCTAATTTTCATATTAGCTGAAAACAGCTGTTTAGGAATTTGAGTTAGTATAGACCTAACTTTAGTATAAAGCATGTCTGCGTTAAACATAGGAATAAACAAAAATAGTTATTTCTGGGAGGTTATAAACCTTTATTTTTAATTCTGGGTTTTCTAAATTTTATGCTTAATCAAATGGTGGGATTTCATTTTTGTTTTACATTGTTGGAAGAAGGTATTTTGAGAAAATATTTTGTGAAAATTTGGAATAATTTAGATTTTTCTGTTTATTTATTGAATTTGTTTTGGTGTTTGAAGTATCTCGCTTTATAGTCCACTGTGGCCTCAAACACTCTTCTTGCATCACCTAGAATACTGGATCACAGGTGTGCACCCCACACCTGGTTAGTACTAGATCACAGGCAGGCACCCCACACCTGGTTAGTACTGGATCACAGGCGTGCACCCCACACCTGGTTAGTACTGAATCACAGGCGTGCACCCCACACCTGGTTAGTACTGAATCACAGGTGTGCACCCCATACCTGATTAGTACTGGATCACAGGTGTGCACCCCATACCTGGTTAGTACTGGATCACAGGCATACATCCCACACCTGGTTAACACTGGATCATAGGTGTGCACTCCACACCTGGTTAGTACTGGATCACAGGTATACACCCAACACCTGGCTAGCAATGTGGTTGTTTGGCTTTGTTTCCTGAGGTACTGGAGATAGTCTGGGGCTTCACATACATGAAACAAGGACTCTACTGCTAAGATGTATTCCCAGCCTTTATTTTGAGATAGGGGCTCATTAAGGTGCTGGCCTTGAACTCACTCTGTAGTCTAAGTAAACCTTTTCTTTCCTGTCTCAGCTTTCTAGTGAGCTGAGATTAGAAGTCTGTGCCACTGAAGGCTGGCTTCAACAATTAAACTTTAATTCAGAGAAATTAAAATTTAGATTTTTCAGTAGTATTTAGGAATTTAAAGTAGGAGCTTCAGAATTACAACTTTTTAAATTTTATTTGAGATAAGGTCCCACTATTTTGCCCAAGATAGCCCCAAAATCCTGAGCTTCTGTTCCCAAGTATGTGGACTCAACTATATGCTACCATGCCCAATATTCTAGAAATTAAAATTCTTAGGAATTTGGGTGGATGTGGTATTACTATTGTAGTAGTAGCTACTTGGGAGACAGAGGCCAGATCTCTCAAAGGCAACATAACTAGTCCGTCTGTCCACCACAGCAAGTCCGTCTGTCCACCCACATCATTCTCTTTCTCTCAACTGAGATGTGCACTGTCAAGACAAGCAAATTCCCACTCTGACAGTAGCTCCACTGCCCCCGTCCTGAGAGGAGGCTGGGAAGACTTGTTCCTTATGCAGGGTGCATTAAGCTGCTCACTTTCTCTTCAGGAGCCTTGGGCAAAGCGCCCAGCAAAGTAACCGACGCCCTTCCTGAGCCTGAACCTTCAGGAGCGATGGCTGCTTCAGAAGAGGGAGAGGATGAGGAGGATGAAGAGGACCTAGAGGCCATGCAGTCCCGACTGGCCACACTCCGAAGCTAGGGCCACCCAGTTGGGGCCTCATCTCTGGTGCCCTCCTCTAGGTGTGGGCACGGCCTCTGAGGAGTCACCATTTTCCTGTATCTCTTGCACTACACCTCTGTTGTGAAGCATTGCATTTTGGAGAGGGTTCTATGCTAGTGTATCTTCACTGTCTGCAGAGGTTTTAAGGATTGTTTTATGAAGGTGGTACAATCAAATGCATTCTTTTCAAGACCATAAATAGAAGCATCTTTCTTGGGGGAGGGGAAGAATCCCGTTTTCTCATGAAGCAGTTCTGAGAAGAGTCAGTTGAATGTTGATGACTCTCTACTGGTGTGTATGTGTAAAATGCCGCTTAAGTGGATATCAATAAACTTCTACTGTAGCTCTTGGTCTCATTGTAAATGTCACATGCAGTGGACTCAAGGTGTTGATCTCCCAGATGTCTCAGTGTTGGCCTTGGAAAGAGGAAGTGCCATCGCCAGGCAGCAGAACATGGGAGCTCAGCAGAAGTGCCTTCTGCTCAGGAGCTGCTGGTCCTGATCACTACAGACAGGTTTTGGGGGCCACTCTGATGCAGTTGTCATCTGTTTAACCAATGGATGTTGGTAATACATTGTGTTGGCCGGATGACTTACCCATTCTTGCTTGGAGCCAAGTGTCTTGCATACAGGGACATGTCTAACCATGAACAGCAAGAGCTAACCAGCAAGCAGCTTTGCTTATGCATTAAAACACACACACCAGACCATGCTTGAGATGCACTGAGAAATAACCTGGCAGTTGCACTTTTTGACAGTTTGAAAAGCTCTTTGGCATGCATGGTCTCATGCAGTCTTCACAAATAAGATAGCAGTTTGCTGAAGTCACAAACACAATGGCCTGTGTCTACCATTATTGTGGTACAGAATGGCTTTGCTACCCCCAAACAACCCTATGTGCTGTGTTCATCCCCTCTCTGATCCCATGGCATCCATTGATCCATTTATTGTCTCCATGGGTTTTCCTTTTCCAGCCTTTCAGACTCTTCCCTCATGTGATAATAGGCATTTAAGTTTCCTCTGTGTGGGTTCATGACTTAATTGTTTAGCTCTCCTCACTGAGCAGCAGTCTATTTTCTGGATATACCACAACTTGTCCTGAAGGGCATGTGGACTAAGCCTGAAGCAATGTCTACAGCAGTTTTTTCCTGTGTGTGTGTTTCTATTTCCTATGGATACCAGGGAGCTCAACCATGGGATCGTGTGGTCAGCACAAACTTGGTGCTGTAAGAGGCTACACCAGCCTTGCATAGCACACACTGTCCACCTCCTAGGAGGAAGAGCTCTGCCACTCTGCATCCTTGGAAGCATTTGTCATGAGCAATTTCTGTTGGGTTGGTATCTTGTCAATCTGTAATATCTGATGAAGTACTCTGGGCACCTGTTTTCGTACTTGCCTTCTCTGTATTTTGTTTGAAAATGATGATATAGTGGCCTTGAACTCATGACCTCTCTGCTCTACCACCATGCCCAGCTTGCCACCTGTATTTCTTTACCGTTGGTGTTTGTTCATTTTATAAACTGGATTGTTTTCTGATTATTCAATTTTAAGGTCCTCTTACATATTTTGGACCGATTGTCTATCAGATTTTATCCTATTCTCCTGTCTGTTCTCTCATTGTTGACAGTTGCTCAAAGCTGAAATTTTTTACTTTTAATAAAACCCTGCTTCTTGATTATTTTGTATATCATGCCTTTGGTGTTTAAAAAAAATAGTACTATAGGGGATGTAGCTCAGTGGTAGAGAGTACTGGCCTGGCATGTACAAGGTCCTGGGTTCAATCCTCAAGTACCAACACACACACACACACACACACACACACACACACACACACACACATTTAAGATTTGTGACCTAGTAGTTTGTCTTTAGTTATGTGTTTATTGTGCTGGGATGTGTGTGAGCCCCAGTGTACATTTGGAGGTCAGAATACAATTTGTAGGAGTTGTTGATTCTCTTTCTACAATGTGGGCTGCTTCAAGGATCAGACTCGGGTGGTCAGGCTTGGAGCGAAGCATGTTTCTTCACTGGGCCAGCTTACTGGCCCTTGTGTCGTGTTTTATATCAAGGTCTGTAATCCAGTTCCAGTTCATTTTTATGAAGGACGTTAAAGTCAGTGTGTAGCTTTGTTTTGTTTTTGCATGTGGATATGCAGTTGTTCAGGATCATTCATTGAAAAGGCTTTATGCCAGTCTAATTATATAGATTATATTAGTACATATAATCTATGTTAACATACATTAATATATAATTAAGTATATGATCGTTAGTTTATCTACTTGGATTGAGACAGACCACTGTGCATTTTCAGAGAGAAGTACCAAAGGGAAAAACCTACCTCTCATAGCTGGTGGCACATGAAAGGGAAAGAGAAGACCCACTAGCCCTGTACTGCCTCTTGCCAAGCATGACCTGAAGGAATAGCCTAAACAATGGACCATGGCCCTTAACAACCTGACACTCTTGCTTGCTTGCCCACCCCACCTTGTGGTTTTAGAGTGTAAACTACAAATTCCAACTGGATGCAGCTCTGAGGCCTTTCAGGGGCTATCCTGACATCGGCTCACTCACTGGTGACGTCCCATTGACTGGTGATGTCTCATTTGTTCAAGAAAGATTACCACAACAGCATGCTAAACGCTTAACCTCTAAGGGACTCTGACCACAGTAGAGGCCACAGAAGAAAAGAATCTCTAAAACTAACAAAGAGTAGGTAAAGGGATCTTCAGTAAGACTTACACGTATTTTCTGATCACAGACCACTGTGGTGGCAAGAAGACAGTAGGATACCATTTTTAGAATGTTAAAAAAAAAAAAAAGAATCTATCCAGCAAAATGATCCCTTCAGAATAAAGGAAAAGGAAAACAAAAGCTAAAGGCACTTGTGCTTCTGCATCTCCCCTGAAAGAAATGTACAGTCCTCAAGGCTAAAATGACACTAGATAGTAACTTAAAGCTATACCAGTTAAGAGAAAAGGTGGGGGAGGGGAAAAGATGGGGGGGAGGGGATGTACAAGAGCTTGTAAGTGGCTGAGGTGAAAATGGAATAGGCCAGGCCAGTGGCACACACCCCAGAGGCAGGTGGCTATGAGTTCAAGGCCACTATGGTCTACTTAGAAGTTCCATGTCCACTGGAGCTACAGAGGACACATCTCAAAAGAGGGGTGGGGTATTGCTGGGCTGTATGGAGTGACAAAAAAAGCAGTATTAGTATTAACTACACAAAATGGTACATTGTCACTTGTATACTTTAGTTCAAAGCAACACATTTTTAACATGTATTTTTAACGTGTATGTGTGTGAGCAAGTGTGATCAAAGGACAACTTGCAGGACTTGGTTCTCTCCACTCATGAAATGGGTTCCAGGAATTGAATTCAGGTTGTCAGGTTTGGTGACATTACCCATTGAGCTATCTCACCGGCTCCTGCAGTGTATACTTTTTGACAAAAGTCTATGTTCAGCCCAAACTGTTTGGTAATGTCTCAAACAGGATGTGCGAAGGTGGGTGGTGATGGTACATGCTTTTAGTCCCAAGACTTTGGAGGAGACTGACGGATCTGAGTTTGAGGCCAACATGAACAAGTTGCAGGATGGCCAGAGTCACACAGAGAAACGCTGTCTTTAAAATTACCAGTGTTAACTTTCACTACTTTATCTGGATATTCTAGTATCAAGCTGGTCTTGCATATCTATTTTTCTGTCATCCTATCTTTAACATCTTGTTGCATTTGAACTTACCAATTATTTCTCACCTGGATTTTTTTGTTTTCTTTAGAGTAATGTTGACTTGTAATTTTCTTTTTATACTTTGTGTATGAGAGTGACATCAAATCCACATAGCTTTTGAGAAGTTTGTCTGCTTTGTTAATGTCTTTTTCCATGGCATTGGCTCTCACATTCTCTCCCTCTTCTGTGCAATGTACTGTTACGGCTGCCACCTCACATGAAACCTTTGCCACTTCCCATGAAACCTTTACCAGAAGCCATGGCTTCAGCCTCCAAAACTGAGCTAAATAACCCGTTTTTTTAAAACACCCAGCTGAAGACTACAGTATTAGCCAACAGAGGATAAGTGAATGTGATGGCTCACATTTAATTCCAGCACTTGGTAGGCAGAAGTGGGTGGATTTGAGTTAGAGGCCAGTCAAGGTCATCTTTGAGAAGTAGAGGACACATTTGAGTCATTGCTGTTTTGGCAATTTTTCTCCGATCACTTTGTTTTTCTGGGTTATTTCTTTAAATATTTCCTGTCTCTTTACAAAAATAAGTAAATGGGTTTAGGCCTGTATGTATTCTAATTCTTAGCTGTATTTTACAAGCATTTTCCCTCAGATCAGAGCATCAACTTAACCTGCCACGTTCTTGTGGCTTCTGAGTCTTGAGAGGCCTGGGTCAGTAGCTCTGCCTTCATCCCCACCAGCTCCAGCAAGTCCCTGTTCTACTGGGCAATGAGACCTCCAGACAGCAGTTGTGCTGCTGGGTCTTGTACACCCACAAGGCTATCTCCAACATCTCTTAACTTTTGTCCCTAGAAGCAGAAGGTTGTCACTTTTTTAAAAACCAGTCTTCTTACTTTTAAATATCCACTATTGTATCGCTGATAATTTGCCAAGTTTGGAGAAGTCTTCTCGTATGTATGTGATGGCAAATCTTGGGTGTCAGTTTGACTTCAGCTGAAGTCAACTAAAACCCAAGTTGCTGGGCTGGCCTGTGAGGGATTTCCTTAATTAGATTGTTTGAAGCAGGAAGGCCTACCCTAAATCTGGGTCACACCTGCACTCCAGGCCTTGTCTACTTACCACTGGTGAACAAATTCCTTCCCAGTTACAGCAGCCCAAGAGAGGGACCACATCTTCTTTACCATTGTTGCCCTTTCATAGAGATGGGGACTTTAAGTGTAACTGTCCTAACCCATCCAACATTGCCTCTCCTCCTTTGTACACACAGAACAGACAACCTGTTTTTCAGTTAGCAGTTACTATTTGGGTTGGGGTTCACAAAAGTGGGACGATCAGTGCTGCTGTATTAGTCACTAAGAAATCATCAACACCTAATTTCTTTGCTTTTAGGAAAGGCTCCTGCACCAAGAATTTAAGCTTACATTTTCTAGAAGGTGTGTAAACACAGAAAAATGCACGTGAACCAAACCAAAGTATTATATGAATATTTTAATGCAAAATGCTTATACCACTTAAAATTAGCAAAGCTTCATTTAAATTAAAATTCCATTAACTAAAGATGGTTAACCCCAAGAATTATACAGTAGTTATTTCTGCTATATAATGCCAGTCCTATGCAATACATTTAGAACTGCACCATTGGCTGTCATTTCCTCCACTGCTCTTCTGGACGCTTGTGGGTGGGGGAGGGTGCTCTGACCGGCATAAAATAAAATCCCATTAAATTTAGCAGTGATCCCTAATAGTTAAAAAATCCATTTGAATGAGCTGTCCAAATAAACAGCTGGGGAATAACTGCAAGTATTGTTTCAGAGCCAACAGGTCTTCAGCTAGGTAGAAGAGCTGCACTAGGTGAAGTCACAGTATAAGGATGCGTGGTCTGTAAATAGTTACTCCATATACACACTTAGTGTCTGTAAACACTAGAAATATACATTAGAGACAGTACCCTTGCAAGTTGGGTGTACTTTAAAAAAGAAGATGAGGTAACATGAAATCTCAAAGTCCACAGGAAGCCTGCCTGAAGAGTTTGATCAGCTGCCAATAATTCATCTCCAATGTCAGAGAGGAGTTAAGGTTTGCCCAAACTGGCTTCACTGGCTTTCAGCATAGCAACTGCATCTTTCACTGCGTGGTAGATAACATTCTTCACCTGAAGAGAAAGAAGGGGGAAAAAAAAAAAGACTACTTCATTAAACCTAAAATCCCGCAGTAAAATTTTCTTTTCTCAGAATACTCAACATGTAATGCCAAGGGTCCTGGCTTAGAGACCAGTATGTCAGACAGACACAGACACACACAATCTATGCCTTCTCTGGAGAACTCACAAAGCCTTTTTGTCCCTTAACCGGGTTTAGCCATTCAGACTTTAACAATTACTGTAGTTTTCAAATATGAGGCAAGTGCATTAATTAACTGCTAATTTTGTTTGAATTGTGATCTTGCTCAGCCTCTGGATTAGAGTAGCTGTGAATGCAGGTGTGAGTTACACACACAGTACGTGTAAGTCACTACTCAAACCAAGTCTCTGAAAACCCCCGCTTCTGATCTGAGTGTTCATTCAGTCCTGCTCAGTCACATGTGACAAAAACGCCACAGCACTAATGCCAGACATTGTGTTCCAGACCCCTGGCTGATGGCTAAGCCAGGGATCAAAAGTCTATCTGATTACTAAAGACTTTCAGTGCCTAAGTAATAACAAGGGTGAGGCTTCCTCGGGGCTTGTAGCTTTGTCACTCAACTAGACAGAAAGCCAGTTCACTATTCTAACTGACTCTTGTCACTTCTGGGTCATGAAGCCTCAGGCAGCAAATGACAGGAATTGGTGCTATTTTTTTTACCTGCAATTTATCTTCATGGTTGGTATGAGTCTGTGACAAATAACGGAATTCCTGAGTAAGCCAGAAGCAGTGTTTAACATGCTCCGGGGACACAAAATCTTCAGCCACTTTGATGCAGCTGTATAAGTTATGAACCTGAAAAACACCAAGCCACAAC